ATGAAAGATGCCAGGAAGGCATCCTGCTATGAAAGGATCCGGCAGCACATAACCCGAGCTGCATGAGCTGTCCGGTGTGAAGGGGCTTCCACTTTGCATAACAGAGATCTCCCAACACAACAGTACCAGGTATGTCATCCCACAGGGCATTCCAGCCTGGCTGAGTTCATTCCCATGAAACATTTGTGTGTTTGCACACATTTTTACCTGTTTGTATATAAGGATGTGTGTGTGTGTGTATGTGTGTGTGTGTGTGTGTGTGTGTGTGTGTGTGTGTGTGTGTCACAAGGTTAATGTCAGATGCCTTCCTCAATCTCAATTTTTTTTGAGATGGGGCTCTCCCTGAACCTGAAGCTCACCACTTGGTCTGGACTGGCTGTGCCTCAAGCTCCAGGGATCTGCCTGTTTGCCACTCCGCAGTGCTGGGATTATAGGTATACTTCTTCATAGCTGTTATTTTTACATGGAAGTTTAGGAAGTGAACTCAAGTCCTCATCCTTGCCTGGTACACACTTCTTCAAGTGAGGTGTCTCTTCAGGACCCTCAGATGCAATAGTGGAATGCAACAGTCCTGGTGAACTTTGACACAATGTGCCCTCCCTCCTTGTCCTTACTTCTGTCCCCTCTAATAAACCTGTTTTGCAAAACTGTTCCTGGCATGCTGGGAAGAATAGGGCTGGTAACCCCAGTATCCCTCTCCCTCAGAGATTCTGACCGGTGTGGGTTGGAGAGGGGGAGGGTTTGTGAGGAAGGGCAGGGCTGACTGCTACTGGCGTGGCTTGGTGACTCCTATGAACACATCTTTCTGATTTTTCTGTGACAAAACATATGACAAAAGTGATTTTAAAAAGGAAGGCAGGGTTTATTGTAGCCCACAGTTTGAGGACACAGTCCTTCATGGTGGGGAAGACATGGTGGCAGGAGTGTGAGGCAGCTGGTCACATGGCATTCACAGTCAGGAAGCAGAGAGAGATGAATGCTGGTGCTCAGCTGGCATTCTCCTTTTTGTTTACTTCAGGACCCGAGACCACGGGATGGTGTTGCCCACAATCAGCACCAGATTTTCCTAATCTGAAAAATCCAACTGAGATATGCCCAGAGGTTTGTTTCCATGGTGATTGGAAGTATCATCCAGTTGATAAAATCAACCATCCCCTCAGGTGTGACACAGCAGGGGACCTGGCTCTTCCTGAATACAGCCAATTCATGGAAGGTCCCTGTGTGAGTGAGGTGGAGAAGTCCACTGCTCCTTTTTGTAATGTGGCCTCAGATCCCTCCTGAGGCCAGTACCTAAGGATGGACCTGGGGAAGAATGAAGTCTGTTTGCCTTTGCAGGACCCTGGCCAGCTTGTCTAGCCTAACTGGTTAGCTGCAGGCCAGTGAGGGGTTCTGTCTCAAAAGGGGAAAACAGAGATTTCTTTATTATTTTTTTATGTGTATGAGTATATTGCCTGCATGTGTGTATGGGCACCCATGACATGCAATGTCCTCAAAGGTCAGAAGAGGCCGCTGGATTCCCCTGGAACTGGAGTCATGAATGGTTTTCAGCTGCCATGTGGGTGCTGGGAATCGAACCCAGCTCCTCTGTGAGAACAGTCAATGCTTAACTGCTGAGCCATCTCTCCAGTCCCATGGAAAGACAGAGCTTTGAGAATGACACCTGGTCCTGTGGACTCAACACTCATGTGCACACAAGTACATGATACACACATGAACATGTACACACACACCCGTTTTCAAGCGCTCACACATTTGTACACACAAACCCTAAATAAAAGAAAGAAAGAGACAGAAAGAGCAGTACAGGGATGTTGTGAGGGGAGGCCCCAGGGCCTGCAACTCCTCCCTCTGTCCCACCCTCTGCCAGAGCCTCACACACTTTCAATCTATCTAGCCAGATGCCCTTCTCAACCTTTATGGTCACACCTGCTAGTATGGACATCTGACTCTACAGAGATACTCGTTGGTGTTGGTGGCATCTCTGAGAGGCTTTCTGTGGACAAGACCTGGTTCATCCTCAGCCCTTGGAATTCTACAGCCTCAGAACCTGGTCCCCACTGTCTTCCCTATCCTGACTCCAGCAGACTGAGCCATGGTACTTGAGGTACTGCATCTGGTTGGCATTTCTTTGGCCAGGCTAGGCTGGCTGATTGCCATTGTGAGCTGTGGACTGCCCATGTGGAGGGTGACAAAATTTGCAGAAGGTGAGACAGAACTAGATGTCAGCATCTGGGAGGGCCTGTGGCATGAGTGTCAGGTTCAAGGTCTGGGAAGCATTCAGTGCACGGCATACAGACAAGGACTAGCCATACCACAGAACCTACAAGTGTCTCAGGTTCTCATGGTCATCTGCATCATTGCATGTGGGTTCCATTTGCCACTGTGTGTGGTAGGGGTGGAGTGTAACACCTGGGTGAGGATGAGATCACTTGGGCAAAGTTAGTAAGGTGGGCAGGTGGCGTCTTCCTGGCTTCTGGCCTCCTGCTGATGGTGTCCGTGTCCTGGATCGCACCCCAGTTTTTCCAAGGCTTCTCCAACCCACTCTTGGGCTCCATGAAGAGAACACAGATGGGTGCCTCACCCTATCTGGGTTGGGTCAGTTCGGTGCTGCTGCTGTTGGGAGGAGGCCTGCTGTGGAGCAAAGCTAACCATGACCTCTCCAGTTTCACTAAGGACTCTGGTGATGGACTTTCCATCACTAGCAACAGTGCATGAGGTGGGTCACTCTGCTTTTTGGGATTGTTCATCCCTGACTGAGCTCAGATCATCCTGTGACCTTATTAAGTAGCTCTTACCTTTGGAATGAAGCAGTCCCTCCTGGAATTTGAAGGAAGGATCTGGACACTTACAAGACTCAACAGGCCCTACCCTAGGTTCTAGAAGCAGGGAACTTGCTGGGGTAGGGAGAGAAGACTCTTTCATGGAGTTGCAAGTTTTGAAGAGGACCCCAGGGCTGCTGCATCCCTGGGTGTCACACATGCTGGGTGGCTCTTGGTGATGCAGCCACCTGAGTCACCCATGCTCCTGGAAGTGACCAGAAAAAACTCATTGGTTCTTCAAGCCAGACTTGGATGGAATGATTTCTTTCCTCTGTAGTTACGCTCTCTATTTGGGGAGACTAGAAACAGACTAAAAGGAGCACAGTGACCCCGGGATGATAATGCCAGGGCTGCCGGCCCACAGGAAGGGACTGAGGCAGCAGGTGCCAACCTTCCCCAATTTGACACTTTCCTAGGGTCTTCTTGTCACCCCTCACCTTTTAGTCATAGCCTGTTGTCCTGGCGCCTCTGCCACTTGCTTGCAGAAGATAATGTTGAGTGTTGATAACCACCTGCTCCTGGCCGGCAGTCACTTCAATACCAGGTATGCCAGGCCAGGAGGACGCCAGCCTGGCTGAGTTCATTCAGATGCCCTCTGTGTGTGTGTGTCCCTGTCCATGTGTCTGTGTCTGTGTCTGTGTGCTCCCTTGGAGCACAATGGTTGGGGTGTGGGGATGTGCTGGCTGGGCCTCAGTTTCAGGGATCCACCTGCCTGCTCTCCCTAGTGCTGGGATTACAGTTGTGGGCTTCCATACTCCCTTTCATATGGACGTTGAACACCTGAACTCAGGCCCTCCCACATATGTGGCATGTACTTTACCGCCTTTACCATGTCTCCCAACAGATACAACACTGACCTTGGGATACAAGAGTCCTCATGGGCTTCTGCCCAGTGCTCCCTCCTCTTCCTCTTATTTGGTTCCCCCTGAATAAACATCTTTTGTGAAATCACTGTCTGGGCACTGTTGGAGCAGGGCCAACCAGCACGCCATCACCCCTCTTCCTGAATTGTTCTGAGCTGTGTATGAGGAGGGGGGAGGCTGTGTGTGGAAGGGCAGGAGTGGCTGTTCCTCTGTGTCTTGGTGACTCCTATGAACCAGGGCTCTTTGACTCCTATGAACCCAGGCACTTTTTTCAAGACTGTGACAAAACAGCTGATAGAAGCTACTAAAGCAAGGAAGGGGGTGTTTATGTTGCCCCATGGTTCAAGGGCACAGTCCATCATGGTGGGAAGGCATGGTGGCAGGAGTGTGAGGCAGCTGGTTACATTGTGTCCACAGTCAGGAAGCAGAGAGATGAATGCTGGTGCTCAGCTTGTTTTTGCCTTTGTGTTCTGTCCCGGACCGAAGCCAACGGTGTCCTTCTTTCTCCAGTTAGAGCGGGCCTTCTGACCTCCATCAACCCAATTTAGAAACTCTCACAGACATGCCCAGAGGCTTGTTTCAAAGGTGATTTTGAATCCCATTAAGATTAGTCATCACCCTGGGTATGTTGCTGCAGGGGACCTGGTTGTCCCCAAGCACACCCAGTGTCAGCACTTGACGGAAGGCCCTTATAGACTGGAGATGGCTGCTGCTCCTTTTCTGCATGGTGGCATCAGATCCTCCTAGGGCCCATGCTGGAGAATGGACCTGCGGAGGTTTGAGTCGTCACCTCCTGTGCAGGACCCTGACCAGCTAGTCTCGTCTAACTATGAGATCTAGGCCAGTGAGAGACCCTGTTTCAAAATTATGGACAGGGTTTTGAGTATGACATCAGAGGTGGTCCTGTGGTCTCATAGTCATGAGCACAAGTGTGCATCAACACACACGAGCATGTACACACACACACACTCGTTACAAGCACTCATATATCTTCACATACAAATACTAAAAAGGAAAAAGAAAGGAAGGAAGGAAGGAAAGAAGGAAGGAAGGAAAGAAAGAAAGAAAGAAAGAAAGAAAGAAAGAAAGAAAGTGACATCCAGGGATGTGGTCAGGGGAGCCCTTGGGGCCTGTAGCTCCTTCCTCTGCCCCATTCTCTGCCAGAGCCTCACACACTCTCAATCTATCTAGCCAGATGCCCATGTCCTGCTGGCATGGACTTCTGACTCTGCAGAGATACTTGTTAGTGTTGATGGTGTCTCTCACTGACTGTGTGATTCTCAGCCTCACAGGAAGAGGCTTTCTGTGGACAACTCCAAAGCCTATCTTCAGGTCCTGAATCCAACAGACTCTGAGGCACGGCTTTCTGGAAAATTATATTAGTCAGCATCATTGTGGTCGTGCTGGGCTGGCTGAGCACCATGGGGAGCTGTGGGCTGCCCATGTGGAGGGTGATGGAATTTCCAGAAGATGAGATGGGCCAAGCTGTCAGCATGTGGGAGGGCCTGTGGAGCATGTGCCACGTTGAAGGACTGGCCCACATGCAGTGCGCGGCATACCACTCTCTGGTAGCAGTGCCAGTGGGTCTGCAGGTGTCTCGGGCTCTCATCATCTGCATCGTCACAACTTCACTGGGTTTGCTGCCTCTGTTGGTCTTGAAGATAGAAAGTTGTGGGTGTGTGGCATCTTCCTGGGTTCTGGTCTGATGATGATGGTGCCTGTGTCCTTGGCAACCCACAACTTCATTCATGGCTTCTATAATCCACTCTTAGGCTCCAGGCAGGAAACAGATATGAGAGCCTTGCTCTACCTAGGGTGGGTCAGCTCCGTGCTGATGCTGCTGGGAGGGGCCCTTGCTGTGGAGAGATTGCCCAACTAACTGTGGCCTCGCCTATGCCACAAAGGACTCTGCTAAGCTCTCTTCCTCAATCAACAGTGCACGAGGTGGGCCACTCTCTGTCTTTTGTATTTTTTTCATTCTTAACTGAGGTTGGATCATCCTGTGACCTTATTATATAGCTGTTATCTTTGGAATGAAGCAGTCCCTCCTGGAGGGAGGAGGAAGGATCAGGAAACTTACAAGACTCAATGGGTCCTTCCCCAGGTTTGAGAAGCAGGGAACTTGCTGGGGTAGGGAGAGAAGACTCTTTCATGGAGCTGCAAATTTTTGAGGAGGACCCCAGGGCTGCAGCGTCCCTGAGTGTCACACATTTTGGGTGGCTCTTGGTGATGCAGCCACCTCAGTCACCCATGCTCCTTGAAATTACCAGAATAAACTCATTGGTTCTCCAAGTTGGACTTGGATGGAATGATTTCTTTACTCTGTAGTTACTCTATTTGGGGAGACTGGAAAGAGACTAAAAAAACACAGTGACCCCAGGATGATAATGCCA